TCAGCCGGGCGCCATGGCGCATCCGGACACCGCAGGGAATTTGGGCGCGCTGATGCGGATCCCAACTGAAGGTCCGGTAGCGACAGCATCCCTGGAACACTAAAGTAGCATCTAAACTTGAAAATCCCCCACAGGGAAGCGAAGGCCAACCAAGTCAACGGAACGACCGCCTCTCTCTGCCTCTTGACAGGACTTCCATATCTCCCCCCTGGCCCTCGCGGTGCCGCGCCACGGCCTCCTCCTCGTCATGAATCCCCCGGGCCGTGCAAACGTTTCACCGCACTCGTATCAACATCACTCCGTTGCAGCTTTGACAAACACTCTGTACTGCCAAGCGCGCTATCTTTTCATCACTACAAGCACGGCTCTCGTCCCTATTGATCTTTCCTTCAGGAGTAACTCAGGAGTAACTCGTGTACAGCAAAGAGGAGTCAAAACACTTTCACATATCTCCACTAAGTCGGCCTCGCAAAGTCCCGCTCAAGCTCGCAGAAGAGGCAACAAGACAGCGTCCCTGTGTTGCCAGGAGCTGGTGCTGCACGCACACTAATGGAAGCAATGCTGCGTCAGGTCAGTGCTGGTGCCTCCTGGGTGTGGGTTAAGAGGTGGGGGGTGGGGGGAGGGTCGGACGAGCTGTTGCGGGGTGCGGAGGAAAGGAAGGGCAGGGGATGGGCATGGGGCACGGGCAGGCGGCGGGAGGTGGGGGCATGAGGAAAGGGAAGGGGCAGGAGTATCACGTTGGCTGCCATCTGTCCAATGTGCCGTTGCGTAGGACAGGCTTCCTTATGCAGGCGCCCTGTCCGTGATCTCGGCCTTCCTGACGCTGCCAAACAATGGGCTGCTAACAGATTGTCTCTCGCGAAAATACACGTTTATTTCCGAAAATACCTGGAGGTGTTAATAAAGAGCCATCGAAATGGCCCTCTCCCCCGTCGCCCCAATGCCCGCCTGAGCGGCTCTCGGCACGCAGCCCTCCGCCAGCGTCCTCAGGGCCCTGCCACGGAGGAGGAAACGAAGGAGGAGAGAGGTGGAGGAGGAGGAGAAGAAAAAGAAAGTGGAGAAGGAGAACAAGGAAAAAGAGGAGAAGGAAAATAAGGAGGAGAGGAGGAAGAATAGGTGGGGGAGGGGGGAAAACGAGGCGGAGAGGAGGAGACCGAGGAAGAGGACGAGGATGAGGAGGAGGAGGAGAGGACGAGGAAAAGGAGGAGGAGGAGACGAAAAGGAAAAGAGGAGGAGAAAAAGAAAATGAAAGAGGAAAAGGAGAAGGAGAAGGAAAAGAAGGAGAAGGTGGTAAAGGAAGAGGAGGCGGCGGGAGAGGAGGAAGATAGCGGCGGAGTCGATGGAGATGATACAGGAAGCAGAGAAAGAGGAAAAGCAGGAGGAGGAGGAGGAGGAGGAGGAGGAGGAGGAGGAATGGGCGTCACAGTTATCTCCGTCACGAGCTCCAACACGTGCTGGGTGTGGCGTGGCGGCGGGAACAATGACCGCCCGACGCCCCCACAGTGTCCAAGAAGACGCCACACTTTCATCACGGCCGAGTGCTACTTCCAGCCCGGGTCTTGCTGCCTGCCCCTCGTTGCCTGAACGTCTTAGGCCCACGCCCTGTGTCCCTGGGGCCCACTTCACGAACGCACAAAGTCTCTGGGGCCCACCTCACGAACGCACTAAGTCCCTGGGGGCCACTTCACGAACGCACTAAGTTCCTGGGGCCCACGAACACACCAAGTCTCTAGGCCCACTTCACAAACGCACTAAATATCTTGGCCCACTTCATTGAACGCACTAAGTCTCTGGGGCTCACCTCACGAATGCATTGAGTCTCTGGGGCCCACTTCACGAATGCATTGAGTCTCTGGGGCCCACTTCACGAACGCACTAAACATCTGGGGTCCACCTCACGAAAGCATTGAATCTTTGGGGCCCACTTCACGAACGCACTAAGTCCCTGGGGTCCACTTCACGAACGCACTAAGTCTCTGGGGTCCACCTCACGAACGCATTAAGTCTCTGGGGCCCACTTCACGAACGCACTAAATCTCTGGGGCCCACTTCACGAACGCACTAAGTCACTGGGGTCCACTTCACGAGCATCCTCTAGGGCCCACTCCACGAACATACTAAATGACTGGGGCCCACTTCACGAACGCACTAAGACTCTGGGGCCAGTGAACGTCTTCACGATCCACTCAAGAACGCCCCACGTCTCTAGGGTCCACTCCACAAGCAAACTACGTCTCCAAGGCCCACTCCATGAACGGTATACGTTTCCAGGGCCCACCCCACGAACGCCCTTGTCACTAGGGCCCACCCCACGAACGCCCTTGTCACTAGGGCCCACCCCACGAACGCCCTTGTCACTAGGGACCACTCCACGAACACCTTGCATCTCTTGGGTCCCCTCTATGAACGTACTACATCTCCAGGAAAGTTCTTCGTCTCCAGGGAAAACTCCACGGATATTCTACGTCCCAAGGCCCTAATCCATGGATGTCCTACCTCACTAGGTTCTCTCCATTGATGTTATATGTTCTTTATGTCCACTCTACGGACCTCCTACGCCCCTAAGGTCCAATCAATGGAGATCCTACGTCTCTAGGGCCCATCCTACACCCCTAGGGCCCATCCTACATCCCCATGGTTCATCACGTGGACGGCCTATGTCCTCACGACCACTCCACGGACGCCCTATGTCCCAAGGATCCACTCCACGGACGTTCTATGTCCCAAGGACCCACTCCACGGACGCCCGATATCCCCAGGCCCCACTCCACGGACGCTCTATGTCCCAAGGACCCACTCCACGGACGCCCAATGTCCCCAGGGCCCACTCCACGGACGCCCGATATCCCCAGGGCACACTCCACGGACGCCCTATGTCCCAAGGACCCACTCCACGGATGCCCGATATCCCCAGGGCCCACTCCACGGACGTCCAATGTCCCAAGGACCCACTCCACGGACGCCCAATGTCCCCAGGGCCCACTCCACGGACGTCCAATGTCCCAAGGACCCACTCCATGGACGACCTATGTCCCCAGGGCCCTCTCCACGGACGCTCTATGTCCCAAGGATCCACTCCACGGACGCCCTAAGTCCCCAGGTCCCACTCCACGGCTGCCTTGCATGTCCCTTGGGTCATCTTACCTCAACTTCTTCCTGCGACCAAAGACGGAGAAATGTATGTGCAATTAGTGTAGACTAAACACCCTGGACAGTAACGTTTCCAGAAGGTCGCGTCGACAAATATGAAGACAGATTAAAACATTATGATCCACTGTGTACAAAACACTGATGAGAACCATGACACCGACAAAAACACAACACTTGAAACGGTGAAAACGCTAATGCCCGTACTTTGTGGCGCCCCCTTTTTCCTTACAGCGACATGGGCAGACTGCCGCGGTCGGATTCCTCAGATACGAAAAAAATAAGACTGCGGACACTATTGCAAGAAAAGACGCTGCAATCGCCGGTTTGACGCACGCCACGCGCGGAGCCAGAAGCCTCTCCTCGCCGCAAAAAGACTCGGAGAGGATCCTCGCCGTAGACAATGGCCGCCGGCGTCGAGGTCCCTGCGGGGGTTGCAGGTGGCGGCGAAGGAGGAAGGCGGCGGCGGTGCCCGATGCCCGTCAAGAGGCAACAATAGAGCCCAATAGTGCCACGTCGCTCTTCCTGTCACCGCCTATCACGCCCGAAGCAAGCATTTGCTGTTCTCCACGCACCTGCAGCCTTTCGCTCAAGACAATATGCGCGTGTAATTCAACTCGCTGTCATACCACGCTGGCCGAGAACACCCGGGGAGGCGGCAGCGGCTTTGTGTCCAGGCGTCTTGCCTCATTCATGCTTTGCATTCGCTCTCTTCTCCATTTTCCTCTCCCCTTTTCTTTCATCTTTCTTCTCCTCTCCCTCTTCCTTGCCTTTTCCACTACTGCTCTCCTTTTCTCTTCTCTACTAACCCCCTCTATCTTACTCTTTCTTTCTCTCTTCTATAACTCCCTGTCTCTCTATCTTTCTCTTTCTCTCTCTCTTCTCTTTCCACGCCTTTCTTTTCCTCTCTAGCTCTTATTCTCCCCTCTTAACCTCTGTTTTATTCCCCTTTCTCCTTCCTATATATATAAATATATACATTTTTTCATCTTCTTTCCCTCCTCTTCCCTTCTTTTACTTATTACTCAACAACTCAAGAATAACCCTCAAACCCATCCACAGGCAAGTGTTTGTACACGCAAGCACGCAAACCTGCACATGCAAACAAACACACACAGACTCACACAAAAACACCTGCAAGTATCAACCCCGTAAGAGAGGAGCACCTGCATCTATGCAAGATGAAGAGCAGTGTATGTGTATGTGTATGTATATGTGTGTGCTGGAGGGGAGGGGGGGTGTGCATCCTTCTTCCCTCCCCTCACCGATCCCCCTCCCCTCGCCCCCTCCGAGGAACACAACTGACGCAGACAACACACAACACAACAGCATGACAGATCAAGGTTGTTCGCACCCTACCCTTCCCTCCCGGGTCCCTTTTCAACACCTGCGAAGACACAGGCGACGATGTAGACTGAAAGCGTATCTGGAACTAAGCAGACGGACACACAGACACAAATACATACACAGACACACACAGACACACACACACAGAGTTAACACCAAAAAATAAAGCCAAACTTCTGCCTTCGAACTACAACCGCTGCCATTTCTGGGCTACGGTACTGCTGCTATTGCTTGAAGTTCACATAAAATGCCGTGAAGCCGCTAAGCTGAATGCGCCCATTCGAACTGTATTACCTTGAGAAATATATACATATAAGTGGAGATTATGGGAGGGAAGGAGATAAGGGGAGAAAGGGAGAATGGAGGGAAGGAGAGAGGGAGAGGGAGAGGGAGAGGGAGAGGGGAGAGAGGGAGAGAGGGGGAGGGGAAGGGAGGGAGGGAGAGAGGGAGGGAGGGAGAGAGGAAGGGAGGGAGGGAGAGAGAGAGATCAAGATGACGTTACATACCTGACGACCTCTGCACAGCGCACACCGTCTTTTTACTTTTGTAGCGTCGATTCACTGGCATGACCAGGCCTACAGGCTCATGACAGGAGTCCTCCTGCCGACGACATTTTGCCTTTTGTCGTGCAAGCCTCGCAAAT